AAAACGAATCCCAAACTGGCCCCGAACCGGCCCAGGTTTCCATGGCATTCGGACGGGTCTGCGGCCCAACGCGGACGTGCTGTCGCTTGGGCCGTCAAGAACCCCGGCCTGGCCGCCTCGGGCCCTGCTTGGCCCCCTTGTGGGCCCTTCTCGGAGCCCTCTTCGACCCTCGTGGGCGCCTTTTGGCAATTTGGGGGTCGTCTTTGGCTGGTTTCGGGCAGTGTTTGGGCTATCTCTGGCCTCCTGCTGTGGATAGGGATCACATATTAAAAAATCAACGTCCATATCACTGATCCGCTGGTAATGATGACGGGCCGACGACCAATCAACAAATTTAACATCGATCAGCCACACGGCAAAGCCGCGCCCTATCGGCGATGGAATAGAAGAGACGTGGAATGCAAAAACAAATATAAACACACCCACACACCTGTGGGGGAATCCTTGGCGACTTTCGGAATATAAACACCCCGTCTAGGCGCCGTCATCGCCTCTTCCGGCGAGAACTGGAATGGGCGGGCGGCGAACGCGAAGCGTCTTGAATAACAATTTTTCTGCGGCGTGGGCGAAATGAGTCTGCGCAAAATTTGTGCCACTTTCACAGAGTATGTGCGTCGGGGTGCAATCTGGATAGCGGATATCGATCCCTTTAAGGAACGGTATCTCTGGGTATTGAAAAACTTGTTTGAAATCATATGGTAAAAGTGTTTCATTCATGCGCGGCTTCGCAAAAACGTCGCCAAAACCAACCAAAGTCTTCTTCATAGTCTGCGATTGACGGCCTACCATCCGCAATGTCTTGCACGTATTGCCGAGTGAGTACAGGAAGCTGACCTTGCATGCACGGCATCTTCGAGGGCCCCCTACTCGTCATTTCACCCAGCCGCAGCGCAGTTGCACTTGTAAAAAGTAACGAGAGCATGCCGCGCAATGAAATGATTACGACTTTGAACATGTCACCAAAGGCTGCCACGGACACAATGCAGTATAGGACGTCTCTGGAGGGCCGTGGATCACAACCCCTTTCGAGCCGAGGTGGCTCGACCCCCAAGGCACCGCTGCACCACGACGCCTCCGTCACCATGGCCACTCAAGCAACTGCAAGCACCGTCGACGACTTCCGTTGCTGCCATCGCTGTGCGTACACATACCGGTTCGCATGTACGGTCGGGCGCGCCGGAAGTGTCTACCATTTCGGTGCCTCGACTGCATGTGGGAGACCTCGTGGGCGTTTGTCGAGGTCTCCTGGATGGCCCCCCAGGCTATTCTCAGAAAGCGCGTGAATCTTCGTGGTGGGGGCTCCTCTAAGTCTCTCACCAGCCCTTTAAGGCGTAGGTGGTTTAAGGCAGCGTGGGGGCCAGGCGTCCCGGTAGGCAAGGCTGCTTTCTTCGTCCAGACTCGATATCCCGACATCTCGATATCGGGGGGCGGGGGCTCGAAATCTCGATATCTCGATATCGGGGGGGCGGGAACTCGATATCTCGATATCGGGGGGGCGGGGACTCGATATCTCGATATCTCGATATCGGGGGCGGGGACTCGATATCTCGATATCTCGATATCGGGGGCGGGGCCAGGATGGGACTCGATATCTCAATATCTGAGAGAGCGTGATCCACCGCCGCTTCACTATGGAAAATTCCCCCCCCCTTTCCTCCGGGCACCGGGCCCCCCCCCACCTCCGAAAATCCACCCCCCCTCTGCTGGAATCCCCCCGCCCTCCCCTTCCCCGGCAACCCCCTCCCCCCCCCTCGCCTACCCCCCCCCCTCCCCATCGAAAACCGGGGGGGGTCACTACCGGTTCGAACACCCCCCCCTCGAAAACCGGAGGAGGGGTCACTACCGATTCGAACGCCTCCCCACCCCCACCCCTCACCGCCAGCATACGCTTCCCTACCACCGTCCGCACCACATCCCCCACTGTTGTTCCCAGCACCACTGCCCTCACCACCACTGTCCCCACTGGTTCCACCACCGTCCCTACTGTCCCCACCAGTGCCCCCACCACTGTCGCACTGTCCCCACTGTCCCCACCACTGTTCCCACCACTGCTCCACTCTCCCACTTTCTCCAGGCCCCAACCACTGCCCGACTATCCCCACTGTCCCCACTGTCCCACTGACTCCTCCGCTGTCCCACTGAGCTGTCCCACTGTTCCCACCACTGTCCCCACCACTGTCCCCACTGTACCTATGTCCCATTGTCCCACCGCCGTCCTCGCCACCGCCTTCACCACTGTCCCCACCGCCAATGTACCCTCCACTGTCCCACTGTTTCCACCACATTCCCACTGTCCCCACACCACTGTCCCCACCACCACCGTCCCCACCACTGTCCCACTGTTCCCACCATTGTCCTCACCACTGTCCCCACCACTACCGTCCCCACCACTGCCCCACTGCCCCCACCACTGCCCCGCTGTCCCCTTTACCACTGTCCCCATCACCACCGCCCCCACCACCGTCCGCACCCCTCTGCGGTTTTCGAGGGGGAGGGGGGGGTTCGAACCATTAGTGACCCCCCAAGTTTTCGAGGGGGGGGGGGTTCGAACCGGCAGTGACCCCCCCCTTTTCATGATGGACTGGGGGGGGGGGGGAGTTCGAACCGGTAGTGACCCCCCCCTGTTTTCCGGAGGGGGGGGGGGGGGTCGAACCGGTAGTGACCCCCCCCAGTTTTCCGCCAGCAGCGGTAGAACACGCTCTTTCCGATATCTCGATACCGGGGGGCGGGGGCTCGGCATCTCGATATCGGGGGCGGGGGCGTTCGGGGCGGGGCTCGATGCGCGGCGCCTCGCCCCCCCCCCCGCCCCAGGACCAGAATTTCCTGATGCACTCCCTGTGCCGCGGACGGGCCCCGCTCGAGCGGGCCCGTGCGGGCCCGCAGGCCGCGCATGAGAAAATCCCCCCTGTCTGAGTTCGGGCCAGAGGGGCCCCGGGATGTCAGAGGGGGACCACGAGGGCGAGGACCATGACAGGGGTGATGACGACGATGATGGCGATCGAGCCCCCGCCACGGATATCGAGATATCGAGATATCGAGTTGACATCCGCAGGGATGCAGCCGAATCGCGAATCGGAGGATGAGCAAGAGGAAGGGCAGGAGGAAGAAGAAGAGGATCAGGACGGCCGAGGACGAGAACGAACAGCAGCAGCAGGAGCAGGACTAGGAGGAGTGAGATAAGCAGGAGGACTAGTTGAGGGCGGAGGAGAGGAATGGAGCGGGGCGACAGCGGCGATGAAGGGCTTGGACCCAGAATTGCGGCCCGCGATTGGGCGAGAGCGCCGTTCCGAACGGCACGAGCAAAGCCATCGCTGCAGCGGGAACGCCATTTTGAAACATCGGGAACATTCCGATTGTAAGATACCTGTTAACAGAACACCTTCTGAAATCCCATAGGCTGAGAATCAGCATGCGGGAGAAAACGGGCCACGAGAAGGGCGTGTCCGGTGCGCTTTCGCCACGTCTGAAAGATCCGAGACCTCCCAACTATCTCTGTTCATTGTGGTAAGTCCCGGTCCATCCGCCGAGTGGGATGTCCAGTAAGTCCTTGGTTCCGAAAGGCAGGCGCACGCGCTGGAATTGAGTCACCTCTTGCTGTGCGCTTGGCAGGAAGGGCCGTTTTTATGGCCGTGGAGAGGAATCGACCAGCGGCACGAGGGGGAACGGCGGAGGGACAAGCAGGCAACGGCAAAGACGAAGAGGAAATCGGATTGAGAGATGAACCATTCCAAATAACGAAAACCACGTGCACCACTGCAGAATGCACCTGACTCTATCTAGGAGGACTCCCAGTTTGCGTATCCTCCTCCACTTTCTCCTCCTCCTCCTCCTCATCCTCCTCATCCTTCTCCGCGTCCTCCTACTCTTCGTGACCTGGAGCTGGAGTGTGGCCAACACCGCAGCCGGAGTGCCAATTTGCAGGGACGGAAGACGCTCTGATTCGAATGGCACACTGATCCAAGCATTATGTCTTGAACCATGTGCAAAATACGCGGGGGGTGGATTTAAAACCAGCATGCTATCAAGGGAGAGAGGAAAACATAACACTCATGAGTAATGGCTGTACAGCAGGGCGGGTGACGGGAGAGCGGAAGCTAGGCGCGATCGCGCCACATCCTACGTCATATTCCTCCCACGCATGCATTCTCCTGGCGTTGAATCCTTTACTGTCCGTCAAATGGCCCCCAAATGGCAGCTGCAGGTTTGTTGCACCGTCTGCGATACGATCGGCAAGGCGTGGGCTTACGGTGGGGAGGGGGGAGGGCGAGGGGGAGGAGGAGGAGAAGAAGAAGAAGAAGAAGAAGAACAATAATGAGGCAGATGACAAGGAGAGCGCAGAGGAAATGGAGGATGAAGAGGAGGACCAGAAGGAAGAAGAGGAAGACGAGTAGCAGCAGCAGCAGCAGCAGCAGCAGCAGGAGGGGCAGCAGCAGGAGTAGAAACGGGGGGGGCAGGACCATGCGGAGCAGGAGGAAAGAAACGGAGGAGAAATCCGGTCCAGAAGCTGGGCGGGTGTTGGGGCGGGGGCACCATTCCGAACGGCGGCAAATGCAATGATCCTGGGATGTGGCCAACGCCGCAGCCAGTCGAAGAAGACGTACACTGGTCTTTAGGTTTTTTATGTATATATAACACATATTCTTGTATACGTATAAATATACACGCATACAATCGCACACACACACGCAAAAACCAACCAACAAACAAACAAACAAATAAATCAACAAACAAACACGCACTTACATAAACAAACACACAAAGACACATACACACATACAAACCAAGATAAACGCACACAGACACACACACACACACATACATACAAACAAACAAAAACAAAAACAAACACCATCCATAACATTTCCCGCGCGTGAGAACAAAACACGGAGGAAGGGCGAAACAACGTCCAGACGCTGCCAACACTCAGAATGAGTCACTGTCGAGGTGGGGGGGGGAACGCCAGGCGCGCTCGTGACAATGCTGCCATCCTGCACCATATATCCCTTTCTTTCACATTGCGCCTCGTACTCAAACTTCATCGAGCAGAGTGTCGAGTCAGACCTCGATACCTAGATGGAGCCTAATTACTGATACCCGCGCACGCCCGGCCTGAGGGAATCAAGTGCCACTGGTGGACGTTCCTGATCTATGGCCGACTCATGGGCACGGCAGGATGAGGGCGATGAGAAAACAGAGCCAGCAATAGCGGGACCAAAACCATTAGAATAACAATTTGAGCCGCTACTAGCTAGCTCTCCATCTAGGGTGTGGCAGCAAACGAAAGACTGTCGTTCCAAGCGTGCACTCGTGGCAAGCCGGTTCAAATCCTCCGCGCCGCGAGCATGCAAACCCTTCTGGCATGGCACCCTAGCGGCGCCTGCGCCCCTTCCCCACCGCAGGGCTCGGGCATGATTCATAAGGGGCACCAAACGCCGGTACAATGCTTGCAGTTTGCTTCAGACTCGCCGCACCATTCGGATCCCGATTCGGTCCTCATCTGGGCATTGTCTGGCCCGCACGTCCAGGTTACGGTTTTGTCGGGGAAGCTGGTGAAGGTCTCGTCCTCGGGGCAGCCACACTCCGAGATAAAGCAAGGAGTGGTCGGTCGCGGAGTCGGCGGTTGAGTCGGCAGAGCCGGAGTCGGCGCCGCAGTCGGAGTCGGAGTCGGCGCCAGAGTCGGCGGCTGTGGAGTCGGCTGTGGAGTCGGCGGCGCCGGGGTCCACACCGCCGGCTCGGTGCATTGCCAGTGGCCGGAGTCTGCTGTGGGCGGGGTCGCGTCCCTCGGGAGTACCATCGCCGTGTGTGGGTAGCCGTCGGGACTGTCGGGGGTATAACCGCAGCAAAGCTGATCGTAGGGATTGTAGCACTCGATGCTGGCCCTGGAGTGGCAGCACAGCTGCCAGGCACTGCATACCTTGACCGGGGCGGCGTGGTTCACGCAGCCCCTCTGGCTCGCTGTGAAGTACACGCACGACTCGGCGCCGCCCCTGCAGATGCTCCCCGGGCCGCTGGTCCCGTTCCCTGCGGGGACAAAAAGATACCGATGCCGCCGCTCCCCGGGCCTCTCCCCGGGCGCGTCCTGCACGGGATCCCAGGGCGAGGCACGCCGTGGCGGCGAGGCCACCCGCGGGAGGCCCGGCGAAAACGATGGGAGGGGTACCGGGTATCCAAGGGCGCCTCGGTTCGCGCTGCGCGAGGCGCGAAGCGCGGACAAGCTCGCGCACCTGCGCCCCCCCGCGGGGGAAGAAGAGGAGGACGAGGAGGCGGGGCCGAACCGCGGACCGCAAAGCGCGAACAACCTCGCGCCCTCGAGGGCGCCCTCGGGTATCGGTATCTTTTCCTCCTCTCGGCCCTCACCTGAGACTGCGCGCAAATTTCGCCCGCGGAGCTGCGGGGGGGGCGGCCCCGTGTTCGCCGACGCCACCGCCGCGAGGCCGATCAGCTGGATCGCACGAGCCATGCTGTCGCACCGAGACTGGTGCTCGTTGAAGACGGACGGAACTTGAGTATCAGCCCTGGGCCGTCTGCGAGGCTCTACAGATCAGCCAAAATCTTGAGCCCAAATGTCTCCAGTCCACAGAAACTATGTTTTTCGAGATCTTGGCCCCCCTGGGCATCCCGAATCCTTCCCTGGGACCAACTCCTCATACCGAGTGGTTGCGTTGACGATCCTGGAGCCCAGCAGCGGCCCCTCGGTGCCGAGAATGTCGAAGGATGCCCGTCTCGGTTACTTCACTGACTTCCAGAAGACCGCACTCGCTCTCAAAAACAAGATGGCCCAAGAGGGCCCCAAGAGGGGCCTGAGAGAGCCAACACGGCCCCAAGAGCGCCCAAGAGCGCTCCAAGGGAGGGGGTCCAAGACACGTTTGTGGGGGCTCCCGAGGGGGGGCGCGAATTTAGAACCCCCATACCTTCCGCGGCCTGGCTCAGCCGATTTTCCAATTATAACCATTCGTTTGGGCTGATAATTGCGCAGAGCAAAGCTTTGCATTACAGGAGTTACCTTTCAAATTCTTAGTTCACTCCGTCGAGAAATTCTTCCGAACGAGGCCCTGGACCTGACCTCAGATTGACATGAAAATTCAAAATTCAAGATTTAAGAAAATCTACTGCGAAGTTCTCTGCTTCGATTCTGGGCACTCTTATGCGTGCAAGGAGCTCTACGAGGTTCCCGGCGGTGACCAGGTTGACGGTTCCGCGCCGGCGCCAGTTCCTCGTAGAGCTGGTCGGCAAGACGAGCTAAGAGAAATTCGGGCGCAGGGTGGAGCTAGTTGATCGACAGACCAGAACGGACAATGTGGTGACTTGGGCTCGGTTTTCTTAAGATAGATTTGACTGGTCATTTTGAGAAAGCAGATTTTTGCACTGAGCATTAGCATATACCTCGTAGAGCTCTGATGATAACAGAGCTAGAGGAATTTGGCGACAGGGTGAAGCCAGTTGACGAAATTCCGAAAAGAGACGCGATCATACCTTCCGCGGCCTGGCTAAGCCGATTTTGCAGTTCTAACCATTCGTTTATGACGGTCACCGCCACGAATCAGAACCACCAAAGACTACGGATGATGGTCATGGCGCACAGCGAACAGCCAGCCGAAATCTATGTTTTTTTGATGTTTAAACAAGTTGGTTTCAGCAAGTGTGTTGACAAAATCAGATCTTCGAAAAAAATGACAGCTGGGATCCCGCGGTAAGCCATCAAGCAGGTAGACGACAAAGCTCTTCGATCGCGCGGCTCTGCTCGGAACAAATGAAAGAAGCTTTCTGAAGGTGATCTGAGAAAATCGGAATATTACAATTTTTGCTGTGTTTCCAAAGCCGGTTCGGGCAAGTGTTTTGATAGTAATATTGCAGCTACGGACCTGAGAGTTAAACTGGCAGATGCGGCATAACCCGTTACACGTAAGAACAATACTGGGTCTCAAAACGAATTTCAAAACTCCTCGAAATCTCCAAAAAATCGCCCTCAAGTTAACACATTGTCTCTTTTGGTCGATCGCGTCCCTTTTCGAAATTTCGCCGACTAGCTCCACCCTGTCGCCGAATTCCTCTAGCTCTGTTACCATCAGAGCTCTGCGAGGTATTACTCTTGAGTTTCCAGCAATGGCGCCGGCGGTGAACCGTCAACCCGGTCACCGCCGGGAACCTCGTGGAGCTCCTCGCACGCGTAAGAGTGCTCAGATTCGAAGCAGACAGCTTCTCCGAGCATTTCTAAAAAAACGTCGAATTTATATTTTTCGGTGTCAACGCGATGTCGGTTGCTCCAAATGTTTCGATAGTAAAACTCTCTCTAGAGAGCTGAGCTGCTCTCGGAACCCAGTTTAGACACTAATGCTCGGAGTAAAAATCTGCTTTCTCAAAATGAATGGTCAAATATCTTCCAAATCTTAGCAAAACCGACCCCAAGTCACCATATTGTCCTTTCTGGTCGGGTCGACCAACTGGGCGCCGGCGGTAAACCGTCAACCTTTCTTACCGCCGGGAGACTCGTAGAGCTGCCTTGCCATATACGATGTCCAAAGAATTAGCAGAGAACGAATAGTTTTTTCAGCCGAGCGCTGATAGCAGACTGATCTCGGGTATCTAGATACATATCACTATTGCCCCTGATAATTTCCTTCCCATTGCTGTACTGAACAGACCCAAGCCAAGCGTCTAGATACGCCAGACTAGAGCGCCTCATGATTGTCTTCTAATTTATGCCAAAGAGCTCGCGAGCTCATCTGCGGCTAGAGCTAAGTGAAGAAATTCACCGTCACTTCGAAGAAAAATCGGTCCAATACGAATAGCTTTGCGGACCTAGCTCGAGTAGCAGACTAAGTTCAGAGCTCTAGATGCTTCAGCCGAACGCGCCTGATGATTCTGAATCGAGTATGTGTGCGCACAAGCAGTGTAGCTAATTCTACAGCTCGAGTTAAGTACAGAACATCGACAGCGCCTGTCAAGAGAACTCGAAGAATACAAATAGTTTCGCGAATCTGGCTCGAGTAACAGACCATGTCCAGACTTCTGGATGCAACAGACGAGCGCGCCTGATGATTCTGAATCGATTTCTGGCGCATCAGCTCTGTAGCTCTGCTACAGCCGAGTTAAATACAGGAAACCGACAGCATCTGTCAAGATGATTCGAAGAATACGAATAGTTTCGCGGACCTAGCTCGAGTAGCAGACGGATTTCAGACCTCTAGATGTAGCAGACGAACGCGTATGATGATTCTGGATCGGCTTCTGTGCGCACCAGCTCTGTAGCTCTTCTACAGAACGAGTTAAGTAGAGAAAACCGACAGTATCTGTCAAGATGACTCGGAAAATACGAATAGTTCCGCGGACCTAGCTCGAGTAGCAGACCGAGTTCAGACCTTTAGATTCAACAGATGAACGCCCCTGGTGATTCTGAATCGGTTTCTGTAAGCATCAGCCCTGTAGCTCTCCTAAATCTCGACTTAAGTACAAAAGACCGTCAACGCGTACCAAGATAACTCGAAACGGCCGATCCCGCCCGAGTGCTTTTTGGCAGTAATATCTACCCGATCGACCTGAGATGAAGACGGCGAGCGGGAATACGATCGAATATCACGGGAAAAGATACTAGAGCTCTAACGGATTGTTGAATTTCGAGAACATAATTTTCAACCGAGCAAAAATCAGCAAAAAGTCCGTCGAGATTTTTCTTGCCAACTAGCTCTCCAGCGCGTTCGAACTGGAAGCCGGCGGCAAACCGTCAACCAGGTTACCGCCGGGAGCCTCGTAGAGCCCTTCTCTCGCATGGCGCTGCTCGGAACACATGGGGGAAGCTTTCTTACGCGTGAGCTGAAAAACTTAAGAAATTACGTTTTCCAGTTTTCACCGAAAATCGTTTCCTTCACTTGTTTTGATAGTAATACTGCAGCTACGGACCTGAGAATTTCACTGGCGGACGCGGCATAACCCACTACAGTGCGAAAAATACCGGTTCTTATAACGAATGTTCAAATCTTCACAATGTTCGCCCAACCGACCCAAAGTTCACACATTGTCCGCCCGGGCCGGGTGGGTCAACTGGGCGCCGGCGGTAAACCGTCAACCTTTCTTACCGCCGGGAGACTCGTAGAGCTTCCTTGTCATATATCACGTTCAAAGAATTAGCAGAGAACAAAAAGTTTTTCTGTCCGAGCGCTGGTAGCAGACTGATCTCAGGCGTCTAGATACATTTCACTATGCCCTGATAAATTCCTTCCTACTGCTGTGCTGAACAGTTCTGTAGCTCATCTGCAGCACGAGAAGAACCAGGAAAAACAATACCATTTCCAAGAAAGTTGCAGAGTACAAATCAGTGTTCAGCCCTAGCGCTAATAGCAGACTGAGCGCGGGTGTCTAGAAGATACTTTTAAATAGCGCGAATGATGATTATCCTCCCATTGCAATGCCTAAGACCTCTCAAGCCCATCTGCACCTCGAGTTCAGTCCAGAGAACGGATTCGATCACAAGATAAATAACAGAGTATGACTAGTTGTTTGGCGTCTGCGCTCAAAACAGACCCGAGCCAAGCGTCTAGATACTTCAGACTAGCGAGCATCATGATTTTCTTATCATTTCTGTGCCGAAGAGCGCTCGAGCTCATCTGCAACTTGAGTTGAGTGGAGAAATTGAGCATCATTCCAAAAAAAATCGGTCGAATACGAATAGGTTTGCGGACCTAGCTCGAGTAGCAAACCAAGTTCAGGCCGACAGCGCCTGTCAAGATGACTCGAAACGGCCAATCCCGCCGCGATGCTTTTTGGCAGCAATAGGTACCCGATCGAGCTGAGATTAAGACGGCGAGCGGGAATAAGATCGAATATGGTCAGACAAATTACTAGAGCTCTAACGAATTTTAGAATTTCGAGAACATACTTTTCAACCGAGCAAAAGTCAGCAAAAAGTCCGTCGAGATTTTTCTTGCCAACTAGCTCTCCAGCGCGCCGGAATTACTTGGAGCCGGCGGTAAACCGTCAACCAAATTACCGCCGGGAGCCTCGTAGAGCTCTTGTCTGCACGGCTCTGCTCGGAATACATGGGGGAGCTTTCTTACGAATAGCTCAAACACTTGAAAAATTAGGTTTTTCAGTTTTCACCGAAAGTCGGTTGCTTCAAGTGTTTTCATAATAATACTGCAGCTACGGACCTGAGAATTTCACTGGCAGACGCGGCATAACCCACTACAGGTGCGAAAAATACCGGTTCTTATAATGAATGTTCAAATCTTCCACAATGTTCGCCGAACCGGCCCAACTGGGAGCCGGCGGTAAACCGTCAACCAGGTCACCGCCGGGAGCCTCGTAGAGCTCTATTCTCGCGCGGCGCTGCTCGAAACACATGGAGAAAGTTTTCCTCAAGCGCGAGCTGGAAAAAAACACGTTTTCGATTTTTCCTCCAAAGTTGGCCCCTTCAAGTGTTTCGATAGAAATATTGCAGCTACAGACCTGAGAATTTCACTGGCAGACGCGGCATAACCCACTACAGGTGCGAAAAATACCTGCTCTCGAAACGAATTTTCAAATATCTCACGATATGCCCAAAACCGACCCCAGGTCATCACACTGGGCGCCG